CCCCAAAACCCCAAAACCCCAAAACCCCGAATGGTTGAATCAGTTAAGTACTTAAGAGTTATGAAATATAGAAGGATTAAAGGCAAATGAATGTTTGGTAGGATTAATTAAAGCAAGATATGGAATGGAATTTAATAAATAAGAATCGAATTAGTGATTCTTCCTATCATTTATAATCTATTTTTGAAAAGATCTAAGGTCAATTCCAACCATGTTTAGTCTTATCCTTCTCCTTCTCAAATATTTTGTAATGTTCGTCAGTAAGATTGTAAATTTGAGCTTTCTTCCTTGAAGCTTTAGATTATCTCGGTTTAAAAGCTAGATTTATGTTTTGCTAGGAAAATTGATGCGATTAGCTGGAAAGATGTTCTCTTCTAGAGTTAGCTAGCCTTGTTTTTTCATCTGCATGTATCTACAAAAAATCATTAGTTTATTATCTTTGATTTCCATTTGAGATCGTTTCTTCTTATGGATCGAAAGTAGGCTTATAGACTAGGGCTTAAGAAGATTTATTGAATTTATTCTTCGCTGTCCGTCTAGTGTCCAAGGGCGAATCATCCATCTTTACTTGTTAAAACATGGTGAAGTCTTAAGATTCAGTATCGTTATTTTTTTTTAATTATCCAAATAGAAGACCTTTCTTTGTATCCTCGAGATTCTCAATCTAAATATTATCAAGTTGTTGCTAAGTTGGATTCAATTTATTGAAGGAGTTATTGAATAAGTAAGAGTTACTGAAATTATTATTCTCATGGACTATCGGAAGTTTAACTCTCGGTGAATCTGATTTTTCTAAATCTAATACTGGAGGTTCATTTCCTTTTTATCCTGGAACATTATTAGACTATTCTGTCATGTCTTGATAATAAATAATCTAATTTCTTCTTTTTTAACCTAACATATTATTCGGCTGCCTAGATTATTATTGTTTAGCATTTAAGTCATGCTTGAACATAATTGAATATTTCAGAGTTTGTTATTAAGCCAAATTAGGAATAGCATGCAAGTTCTCAATTTTCTGCAAATCTTCTTTCAAAGTTTAATCTATTCTGAGTTCTACCCAATAATGCCCTGGCATAGCTCTCCACCATAGCCCTCTTTTCATAAATTACTTGTTGATGTGTGAAAAGTACTCATCCAATGAATTCTTAACCATTTCCTCAAAAGTTGGAAACTCTTTCTCAGTTATCAAGTACTTCAGCATTATTACAACAACAATTATTATTCCAGCAATTAATGCAACAATTCCAGCTATTAATAATACAGTCCACTGCCAGATTGTTCCATAATATATTAAGAAGGTAAATGATGTTATCAAAGCAAATGAAAGAAAGTATAGCTGACTTATAATTGGAGCCATTTTGCTGTTATCTAGAACTCTCTTTTATGAATAGCACTTCTATGCTATTTTACATAACTCATCAACTACTTTTTTGAATTCTTCTTCAGTAATCATATCTTTTAGAATCTCTCTATCGTAGCAAGTTCTTTTGAAGGAATTCCCTACTGAATTTGATGGTATAATTACTCTATTTATGTTTGAAATGGGAATCTGAATATGAGACATGAAGTCTGCTCTGGTAATTAGAGTCTATCTATGGATTTTCGTTGCACCTCAGTGAATCTCATTTTGAGCCTTAACTGAGGGGTTTGAAGTTTGATTTTCATTATCAAACGGATTGTTTCTACTTGAATCTTCGAAGTGAAAATCACTCCACTGGTCATTATCTCTCTGTTAATTGTCAAATTGATCCTTCATAATCATTTACTTGTTTGATTAAATGTTTTAAGTTATTAACTTTGATTAATTAATTAGAGATTCTTTGAAATAATTATAGATTTCATTGTAATTTATGCAAAGTATAAGTAATTATTTTCTTATTAATATTAACTTTAAACTTTATCCTTAATTGCAATATGCGGGGTTTTGGGGTTTTGGGG